AAATGGCACCGAAACTTTCCACGCCTTCCTAAGATATACAGGCGCCTGACGTCAGTGAAACTGACATTCAGTGGTGCGTGACGGCACACAGCAACCACTCGTCCGACAGGGCGTTTTCTTTTGTTGCTGTTGAAAAAATTGAAGGGCAGTTATACCGACTATACAGATACAGAAGCTGGTGTGTTACGACGAAGGGTGGTTATACCGGCTATACAGATACAGAAGCTGGTGTGTTACGCCGAAGGGCGGTTATAGTGGCTTAGACTGTCATATTGATATTGAATTTATTTACAGAAGAACCTTCAAGTTGTTAAACTGAAAGTTTGTACCAGTATAGCAGTGTTACTGCACAGAAATTTCAAACTCCAGTACATAAAAGATCTGTCATACCAATTTGTAGCACTGTTTATGTACAGGCTACAATATACTTTCATGAAACCATTTCAGAACTTGAATTTTCCATCTGGTATATTGGATTCAGGTTGGGGACAGTTGCAACATCCATTAGTCCATTTATAGTGTCTGTGTAGCAGTTTTTGCATATCTCTGACTCCCATTCTTCTGGTTGAAATGTTGAAATACTGCTAGGAACCACTGCTCACAGTCTCATGTTGAGCTCATCATTCATGTAGCAGCGAGCAGTAGAAACAGATAAAAACCCTCCTGGTCCCGGGCCGGGGTTCGAACCCACGGTCCCCGGGCGCCAGCTTACAATCCTACTGAATCAGCTGAAGACCTCTAGACCCATCGGCCGGGTCAGTTGGTAGCGCCTATTAACCCCCCACTGTTACACACTGGAAAACAGAAAAGAAATTTTAAAATTATAAGTGGCACCTCACTGCACGTCACCCCTCCCACAAAGCCATGCATACCCACACAGCCATGCATACATTATAAAACAACCATTCATTTCGGTACATTTCCCTTCTCTGCTATGGTCACGCTAAATAAACATACGCTATGTAAACAAACATGGCGACTGGCCGGGTTTATTTGTCGCCTCCTGTTAACCGCCGAAATGAGTCCTTAGCATGGTTCACAGAATTTATCATAGCGCAGTCAGAATCGGGAAAGCCAGGCTAAAATATATGTCGTTGTAATCCTTACAAGTCAGGGAACCTCGGGAAGTTCACTTGAAGATCACACTTGTACACAAAAACGAGCTTTGTAGCGTCAAAGTTGACCTTTATTCGCTAGCTAAGAACTCATTTTGGCGTAGGTTTTCGAACTGTATGGGGGTTTCCGTGATACCGCTAATCCCATCTACTTCCGGGTCACGGCTTACGAGGTTCGGTTACTAGTATATTACACGCCGTAGAGCGAAGGAAACGTTGCGGAGTGAAATTTCATGAAAAAAAGCCGCGCCTATAAGGTTTCTCAACTTCTTCCCAAAAATCCAATTACGCTTTGGCGAGTATATTAGGGTCTGCCCTCCGTGTCTATCATATAAATGATACACGTAAACGTCGGGTCGTCTTCGAAGTACCTTATGTATCATTTCAATGATACGTGTAACTACCTTGGTTTTCCAAATTCGGACTGACTTCCAATATAGTAACCCCACTATCATATCTACGCATGTGCGGAACGATCAAAAAATCCCTTCACCTTTGGCGAGTACTCTTTCTCGCAAAGGCGATTATGGTCTGCCCTCCGTGTCTATCATATAAATGATACACGCAAAAGTCGGGTCGTCCTCGGAGTGTTTTATGTATCATTTCAATTAGCTATTTAAATGATTGCTGGTACAGTGTACCCGTCTCACACATGCGTAGATATGATAGTGGGGTTACTATATTGGAAGTCAGTCCGACTTTGAAAAACCTACTAGGTAGTTACACGTATCATTGAAATGATACATAAAGCACTCCGAGGACGACCCGACGTTTACGTGTATCATTTATATGATAGACACGGAGGGCAGACCCTAATATACTCGCCAATTGGATTTTTGGGAAGAAGTTGCGAAACCTTATTGGCGCGGCTTTTTTAAGAGCCAAGTGGTAACTCTTCTATTAGCTATTTAAATGATTGCTGGTACAGTGTACCCGTCTCACACATGCGTAGATATGATAGTGGGGTTACTATATTGGAAGTCAGTACGAATTTGGAAAACCTAGGTAGTTACACGTATCATTGAAATGATACATAAGGTACTTCGAAGACGACCCGACTTTTTGCGTGTATCATTTATATGATACACGCGGAGGGCAGACTTTAATCGCCTTTGCGAGAAAGAGTACTCGCCAAAGGGTGAAGGATTTTTGGGAAGAAGTTGTGAAACCGTAACGGCTTTGCAAAGGTCACCTTTCTAGTTGATGATTATTTTATACTTATGTTTAAATCATGTGATTTCTGTATCCCACGTACTCATGCATGGTGTCCTATCAGCCTATATGGGCTGGGCGACAATATTTATACACTTCTATGCACTCCGAAGAAGCCTGACTTTTACCTGTATGATTGCAATTATATACACGGGGGACGATTTTGCAACGATTGAGATTTTTAAAGTCGGACTGTCTTCATGCTGTCTAACAACAATTTTGGTAAAAATTAGGTAATTTTCGGGGCGCAATGTGATTCAGGTGAAAGTCGTGTTGTCGTCGACGTGTTTGCAACGATACAGGCAAAATGTATCGGCTATCGAATGATTGCTAGCGTACTCGTTTTTACACATGTGCATACATGTCAGTGGCTCGTTCAAGCAAAAGAGCCATATATATTAATTCCTTGAGCCATTCTTTCCCCGAAAGGGTGAGTATGCGCAGTACACTGCCCTTGGCTTGCAGCGGCCCTTCGCCGGGTAATGACGTCGCTGGACGTGACCCGGAAACAGATGCAACCAGATACCGCGAAACCCCCATAGGGTGCGTATTTTGACGGAAATCCAATGGCGGAAACCTCGCCGAAAAATGGAAATGAGTCAACTTTGACGCTACAAAGCTCGTTTTTGTGTGCAAGTGTGATCTTCAAGTGAACTTCCCGAGGTTCCCTGACTTGTAAGGATTACAACGACATATATTTTAGCCTGGCTTTCCCGATTCTGACTGCGCTATGATAAATTCTGTGAACCATGCTAAGGACTCATTTCGGCGGTTAACACCTCCGCCGATAGTTGCCGATTATTCATTTATACCCGGAATAATTTTTTCCCAATCCATTGACAAACATTATGTGATCATCCTGACAGAAAAGTCCCTTTTCTGACCTTAGTTAACGATAGTCACTGCGATTTCTTGTTCTCTAGGCCACGTATAAGTTACCTCATGGTCAAAATAGTCTTGAAGTATAGAATAACTTTTTATCTCGGTACATTTCACTTCTCTTTTGTGATCGCGCTAAACAAACATATTGTGTTACGCTATGTAAACAAACATGGCGACTGGCCTCCGCCAATTCATTGATTCATTGTTCCCTGGGCCTCGAATAAGTTATCTTATTCCAAAACACAGCAACTTTGGATCACATTAAAGCAGGGTGTATTCCGGTAGATTTCAGCCTCTTATGTGTATTCCAGGATATTCCGATGTATCCCTGTATATTTCTGTGTATTCCGGTAATAGGCAGACCCCTAGACACTAGCGGTCCTTAGATATCGTAAAAAACGTACCGTATAATTCCTTTGAAGAGAAATAGAACGCGATGTTTCAGACAAGTAAGGGGTTGGACATCGCTCAAACTCATCTTTGATCTTTTGGTGGGGAAACTGCCGATAACGCCACGTGGAAGCCAAAAACTTTGATAATGTGCGGCAGCTTCGAACAAAGGGGGCGGCTCGGCTTGTTTATCTACCCGTTTCGGGTTGCTAAGTCAACTTTGTGCAGGTGCACTTAGTCTTAATAATTGCGACAAGGCTTAGAGCTTTGAACATAGCTTATTGCATTCTGACCTTCGTACCTGTTGACTACTCTCTCTTGTGCTGTCGAGACTTGTTTTTCTAAACCCTCCACCAAAAATTTTTTCCATGTTAGGAGAAAACCAAATCAGGCTTCTCTTTGTAATTTTGTTGTTGATCACACAAGCTGAATTAGTGCAATCGTTTTGATTTTTCGTTCTAAAAATTGTTCTTGTGAATGCCTAGAGAGAATATTTATCTCCATGAAAAATGGAGGTATTGTTTTTGGCGTGTCTGTCTGTGTGTCTGTTTCTGTGTGTGTGTCTGTGTGTGTGTGTTTGTGTTTCCGCACATTTGTAGTCAGCATAACTTCATAACGCCTAGTTTATGTATTATGATGAAATTTGGTATGTTGGTAAGTCTTGCAAATGATGACCTAATTTGCATAATTAGTGCAAAAATTCTATTATTTCTGATCTGTAATTTAATCAAAAATTAACATACATCACTATAGATATATCATGTTAATGCAGATCCCATTTGCATAATTAAAGAAGAAATTTACATTTACATATCAAGCCCATATTTCATGGAGGTATTAAATCTCGAGCTCGGAACTCTTGTTCTAATTTTCATGATCAGGACTCTTTTTTTACGTTTCCTCCTGTAGTGGTAGGAATAACACGTCATGTTTTTCAATAGCCAGACTTTTATAACCTCTGGACGTTGATTTAGAGTCTAAATGACTGTACACACATACTATTTGGAACAATGGTGGTCGACAAACTGTTCAGTCATCATTTCAGTACAGACTTGTTGCTACATGCATTGTCAACAATGGGTGGTGGCTATTTTAGGACTTAGCGGGGGATTTACCTGGGACGACTTCCAACCGAAGAGGGGGGAGACGTCGTCTTTATGCAGACATGGGAGAAAATAACGTTGAGTTTTCTTGCTGGTGAAAAGAAGTGATCACGACAAGCGCTCAAGGGCTATCATGAAAGATACGATGCTTCCTGTCCCAGTAGTTAAAACACCATAGAAATGTTGAACTTGCAAGATGCACCCCCCTAAATCGCTAACCTTTGACATGGAATAGTCCAATTCACAGGTACAAACCCAAAGTTTCGGTATACGTCATCAAGTCAAGGAAAAAGGTTGCGTACGTTTTGCTATCGGTGTGAAAGACACTTGCTTCCAGCAGTCTGCCATTTTTTTCGTCATCTCATCACTGTGCCATACATCGTTTTAAAAATGCCACCGGTCGCCTCCAAGCCAGTGTCGCCGTTCCCGGCCCAGGAAATGGTGGAATTGCTGAAGCAAATTGAAGAATGTGTATTTAACCTTGTCAGTGCATCTAAGAAAAGGGGTGCCAAGGTACGACAGGAGGTTGTCGTCCTGCTGAAGAAGTACATGGACCTACTCACCGAGGCTCGCCGAGAGTGCATGTTTTTCCGGTGAGTTCAAGTAAAGGTTAGGGTTTGTTTGTTTGCACTTAACTTTGCAACTTGATATAACGGAGGTACACTAACTTCGGGCGTGCCCAACTTCGGACGGATTTTTTTACTGATCTTATTATGCAAAAGTACGCCATGTTTGTTGCCACCAACTTCGCTAATAAAAAGGCAAAAAAAAAAAAACATAGTCAATGCATACAGCTGTTATTTGCATGCAAAGTATAGTTCTATATATTTGTCTTCGTCAGAAGGACTATGAAATTGTCTCGCCGGAGTGTGGGGAACTGCGGATTTTGCGATATAACTCTGGAAGGCATGATTCGACGTCCATGATTTTTGGCAGACATATTACCGCTGTTAAGGCCGAAGTCAAGTACAAGTTTTGGCTTCGTGGGGGGTCCGTGCGTCACGTCAGTGCACCTTTTGTGTTTGTGGCTTGTTAGCAAGATAACTCAAGTATTTGTAAAATGTTGATTATAATTCTTGGTGTGGTGGTTACTATTGTCGGGACCAAGGTTAAGTTCGTTACTGAGCTTCGTGGGGGGTTTCGTTGTGACTACAGGGGGCATTTTGTTAATTTTTCTTGTGAGCAGGATAACTTTTGTATGTGTGGATGGAAGTTAATGAAATTTGATAGGCATATTACTGTCGTGGTCTCCAAGATTGAGTTCAAAGATGAGAGTCGTGGAGGTCGTTATGTCCCCGTAATAGGACCTTTTGTGTTTAGAAATCCCCCACCTACATCTGCTTGGAGATAGCCGACAGCTGGATATAGCCGGGGAATCCCATAATGGGATGGGATCAAATGACGTTACATTGAGGGATTGTACTATAACTTCAGCAGGGGGAGGATAGGTTGGACATATGTCAGGTTATTTTCTACGGCCACACCAAGTAATTGCTATGGATGACGTCCACTGGAGACCTTAAATCTAATTACCTTAAATTTAAGGCAAGCGCGCAATAAAAAACACTAAGGGCCGAAAAACGAGATGCCTAGATTTGGAATATACTAACTGTAGAAGTACAAATGTTAGGACACAAAGAACACAAGAAACAAGTCTTCTATTTGTCATAAAGACAAATTAACAAAACAGCAGTAGTCACCCTGTTCTGATTCTTTCCTTTATAACATCTTCTCTTATTATATTTTGCGGCGCTGTCGTGACACTTTCAACACAGTAAGAACTTCTTGGACGTTTTTTTTCCAGTAACAGTCCAAACTCAAATAACTGGGGGGGGGGGGGTAACACGGGTGACGACGCATCTGTATAATCTGCGGCAAACCGTTTCAGGGTGTTCTGTACCATAAAAATAGTACTTTTGTTCTTTAGACCAAATTGATTATTAAAAAGAGTGAAGAATACGCGTGTTAATTTCTCTAGAACGATGTACCTCTGACGAAGACATGAGATCTCCGACCTCTAGTTATTTATCGTTTTGTCGAAAAGGCTAGGAAATATGGGTCATTTTCACCAATCATGACAAAGAGGCTGCATTGCGGCGGCTCGTTCCCAGAAATAAACGACCTGTACCAAAATTTGACACCACTGCCACATACACAAGGTATAAATCTGCGTGTCTCTGAGTGTTTGTTTTGTTGAAAACCTACACGTGAAAAACATCGTCAACACCGGTGTCGTTTGCATTTCCCATGATTCCCCGGGGACCGCATTGATTGCGTAATCCGAGTTTTCAGTGGAAACACGGACTGATTGCATTAGATACTACCCTCCTCTCGTGAGACGAGAAGTGCACACAATCGCAATTTTACTGTCCAAAGAAAGCTAAAATATCATAAAATTCTACTCTTATATTTTACTTCACTTAATTTTATCATCAACGCCTGAAGAGAGCAAAATTACGAAAGCGTCCGAAGTTAGGGCAAACTGTCTAGCGTAGCATTCACGAAGGTACCCTCACGAAAACGTCTCACAGAGTTTGTCGCTTGTAACACGGAACGTGAAGGGCTCATGTATAGTATGAATGCATTTCTTATCCAAGTATGTTGTTTACATTAATGTTCTCATAATTCATTCACCAAAACCTGACCACTCTTTGACAACTGGCGAATGCCGTGAGTTCGAGCGCGTGAAAAAGCGTCCGATGTTAGGGCACCCCCCGTTAAAAAGCTATAAATTTGATAAGCTAGTCTACCAAGTCTTCCACACTGATGGGGTATAATATGTTGTCACAGTGGTAATACACTATTTGAAACAGACCTATACAAAGTACCTTTCTTTGGCGACTCTAGAGTGCACCGTTACCTCTCTAAATTTGCCCAGAAGGGAGTTAGTCACGAAAAGGAACTTAGCCACGGAGGGAATTTAGGTATTCTCCACGGAAAATAGCAGCCATCCCGTACCCAGGTCTGTTTGCGAAGGTCGTCCCCTGATTCGTCAGAGCAATCTAACCCCGCCCCGTCTACTCTCATTCCCAGGATATGCAGTGTAACTCAAGTAGCCCTCATGCGATCTATCTATGTATTGCATGTAACACTCTGGCCCTACACGTAGCCCTCATGCGATCTAGCTACAATGGGTGGGTAAGCTGACGATCTTATTGTTTTCGACGCTGCGGCGGAGCGTGCGAGGATGTAAACATTGTCTGACCGAAACATTGTCTGACCGCTGTGATTCACTTAGCTTTCAAGCAGAGGCGTCATGTGTCGGCCCCTCCACTTCCTAAATGACACTTCTTAACTTCGCCAGGAAGGTTATGTTTTCTGTAGCGTTTGTGTGTGTAAGTTTGTCTCATGTGTTAACACGATAACTCGAGAACACTTTTGGTAGATTGTCTTGATACTAAGTAGGTCTTGATAAGACTTTAAGATGATTAGTACATATTTGGGCCCCTGGCGGCTTATTATGGTGCTGCAGCAAAAATCGATCCTCATTTCAGATATTTGTACCGCCTGGCAAATTCTCATTATGGTTATTGAAAAGTAGGGTGTCTGTGGAATATATTTTGGTGTGATAGACATTGCAGATTGGTAGCTTTGACCTTGTTATCTGACCTTGAACTTTGACCTCACATGGACGTCATTTTGCACTTAATGCAGGGGGGATTGGTAAATTTTTTTCCAAAACTTTATTAATATTCACAATGTTACATTAAAAAGAGGTATATAATTGACATACATGTACAATCGTGTGGGATGATACATAACAATCAAAAACAGTTTTTTTTTAAGGTAACGTTATCTGGGGATTGTCCATATATAATGATATCACATAAAAAGTTCCCATTGTTCATTGTGTTCTACTTCTATAATTTTATTTAGTCTGTGCTTAAAAATTGAGAGTTTTGGTTTGCAATTTGTTATGAAACATGTGTATATACAATATTTAGCGGTAAGAAGACAGTGTGCAAGTGCACTAACATGGCTAGGGCTATCAATTATACCATAAATAATCATCTTCTCGTCTACGAATAAGTCTTGTTTGGTACATCGTTTCCACCAGTAACAGAACTCTTTCCAAAAGTTTTTTGCTTCTTTACAATACAAAAGTAAATGTTCGATAGTGTGCTTATCTGTGCATTTGTTACATTGATCTGTTTGTACCAGGTTTGCTTTTCTTAGCCAACTATTTGTAGCCAGGTAGTGATGGATAATCTTATACTGAAAACATTGTAATTTGGTTTCCCTTGTAGCGACAAAAGCAGCAGTATAGGCTCTCTTGATGTTGTCTTTACCAATTTTGTGTATAATTTCTGTTTCTCTACTTGGAGGCACAACTTGTTTCTGAATAAGAATATCATATACTTGTTTGCATGTTGTTGTTAAGGGATGTATCTTTTCGGTATATTCAATAATGTTGTCAGGGGTGCATTTTCTTCCAATGTTTTTTATGATATCTTTCCACTTTTTAGGTATGGCCACTCTTATAGAATTGTATTTCATTATTTTCTTTGAATCCATGGTTATACCATATAGATTATGTAAGTCATTGGTTGTTAGAAATGATCCATCCCCATACAACAAATCATTTACACAAATAATGACAGCATCTATCCATATTTTGTAAAACACTGGGGAGTGGTAAATACTAGTAATCAAATATGGCTATTTTTCCATGTAACTTGATGGACTGATAAAACACGAACCGTGGATTACAAAAATGTTAAATTTGTTTCGATGCCATTTCCGAAAGTGATGAGTCCCTTTGAAATTTGAATGTTTTTTTTTAGAAATTAGTAAAAAAATGTAATGTTTACTCAAAATCTGTCATATATTTAGCCTGCATTTATCTGATTTCCCTAAATTTTGAGCTTTAAATCATAAAGTTTCAGCAATTCCTATCAGGAGATATGAGCATCTAAAATATGTATTCCCACAGGCCTTGTGTTGGGAAAACCGTTGCTAGGGACGTTGCTAAGGAGGCACTTGACTGCTTTTCCAGCAAAATAGATTGAATACAAGAGTTCCACGATCTTATACCTTCGCCAAATGATGTTAACCCTTGCGGTTGACGAATTATATAATTTTAATCATTGGCTTTGTAACTAAGAGCCTCATTTGCATGGAGTATATCAGTTGGTCATATTCTCCACCCAATGACAGACTTATTTTAACAAAAGGCTATTATAGCACTACCTCAAAAATTAGGCAAATAAGGTCATGATATACATAAATTATGTTTATTATTACTTCACCACCTAGTGGTGAAGTCATATTGTTTTCGCTCACGTTTCTTCTTCTCCTCCTGCCATTTCTTTAAATCGATTCAACTCCTTCATTTTTGGGCCAAATAACATGAAATTTGGCATGAAGTTAGAGTAGGCAAAAACCCCTAGGCGTTTTCTTCATTTTTGTGATACAGGCTATTAGAATGGTTTTATTTGAGCTTTTCGGCTGTGTTATACTACATGTGCTATAGCAGTGTGTTACCATACTTAGGCATGAGTCATCAGAATGGCATGTAGAGCAGGCAACCAATAGGCATGCAGCTTTCCTCTATTCTCCTTGCTGATTGGCTGTTCAGATCTGATTGGGTTAA